TAAAAAAAAAAAAAAAAAAAAAAAGTAAAAGTCAAACACCATCTCCACGTCAGCTCAACCTACACCACTTCTTGTACCTACCCCTCTCTTTATTTAACAATCGCTTTACATGTCAAAATTCCCCCACCGACAAGACATCCGACCATGATTTCCGTTGCCCAATTGAGCGACGGCGAAAAGCCCAAACTCTCCTCATCTCCGCCGCCACGTGTTTTCCGATCGAAATTGCCGGATATTACAATCCCCGACCATCTCCCTCTTCACGATTATTGCTTTGAGAAAATCTCTGAATTTTCCGACCGCCCATGTTTGATCGTCGGCGCCACCGGAAAATCCTATTCCTTCTCCGACACCCACTTGTTCTCCAAGAGGGCCGCCGCCACTTTCTCTAAACTTGGCGTTAAAAAAGGGGATTTTATTATGATTCTTCTCAAGAACTCTGCTGAATTTGTTTTTTCCTTTATGGGTTCGTCGATGATTGGCAGTGTCGCCACCACTGCTAATCCGTACTACACGGCGGCGGAGATTTCCAAGCAATTGAAGATGTCGGGTGCTAAATTGGTGGTTACTTACTCGCATTGTGTTGACAAGCTCCGGGAATCTGATGTGGATCTCACCATTGTTACCGTCGATGATCCACCGGAGAATTGTTTGAGCTTCTCGATGGTTTACGATGCCGATGAAAATGATGTCCCGTTCGTGGAGATTGACTGGAATGACGCTGTTTCGTTGCCGTTCTCCTCTGGCACGACGGGGACTCCGAAGGGTGTGGTTTTGACCCATAAGAGTATGGTGTCGAGTATAGCTCAACAGGTTGTTAAAGAATTGGTTGATACAAATTGTTGGGAGGGAGTCCCACGTTTGCTCATTTAGGGAATGATCATGAGCTTATGAGTAAAGAATATATCTCCGTTGGTACGATGTTTTTTGGAAAAGCCCGAAACAAAGGCACAACGGCTTATGCTCGTAGAGAGTCGTTTTCATTAAATGACATAGAAAAATGAGAATTTAGCCTTATTCATTAAATGACATACGGAAACAAGAATCTTGTCCCGCCCGTCCTGTTTCTTTCAATGAAAACCCTTGGTAAACGAGAATCCAATCCCACGCCTGCCTGTTCCTTTCGATAAAAATTTTTGTAGGATAAAATAGGAGGCGGGACGAGATGGGATGGGAAATCCCGTCCCGCCCTATTCCTTTGGACATCTCTAATAACTACGAATATTAAAATAACATGCAGGTAGATGGGGAGAATCCGAATATATACATAGGAGGTGGGATGGGAAATCTGGTCCCGTTCTTTTGGACATCTCTAATAACTATAAATAATGAAATAGTGTTTGTTAACGTGCAGGTAGATGGAGAGAATCCGAACATATACTTGGGAACGAACGACGTGGTTTTATGTGTGCTTCCGATGTTCCACATATTCTCATTGAGTAGCATAGTTTTGATTTCGATTCGATCGGGAGCAACAATATTATTGATAGAGAAGTTCGAGATTGAGACGTCAATGAGCCTGATAGAGAGGCATGGGGTGACGGTGGCAACCGTGGTGCCGCCGATGGTGTTGATGATGGTGAAGAATCCAAAGGTGGCGGATTTCAACCTAAGCTCGATCAGAATGGTGATTTCAGGGGCGGCGCCGCTAGGAAAGCAGATAGAGGAGGCCCTCATGGAAAGGATCCCTCAAGCAGTTATTGGTCAAGTATGAATTATAATATAATGTTATATAATATGGTATTAATGTTATTTGAATGAACTATGTTTACGTTGATATAATTATAGGGTTATGGGATGACGGAAGCAGGTCCGGTATTGAGTATGTGCACGGCTTTTGCGAAAGAGCCTCCGATGCCAACAAAAATAGGGTCGTGTGGGAGAGTTGTGAGAAACTCAGAGCTCAAAATCATTGACCCAAAGACCGGTGTCTCCCTTACCTATAATCAACCCGGAGAGATCTGTATTCGCGGCCCACAAATTATGAAAGGTTCTCTTTTTCTCGTTTTTACAATTTAATTTTAACATATTTTTAAAAAAAAATTAAGAATAAATAATAATAATAAATTATGAAGTTAAATAAAATAAATAAATATATATAAGTATAATTATATCATAAATAAAAAATTATAATTTATTTGAACTCAACCCAATTTAATAAATTCGTAACCAAATTCAAACCGTTTAGGTTGATCAATTTTTTTTATCATTAAGTTTTTTGAAAACCTTTAAAAGTTACGAACAAAATAGAAAGAATATCGACATTTTATATAATATAAAAACATTTGAAAACGAAAATTTTAATTAAGTATTTAAAACTAAATAAAGAAATATTTTACGAAGTAATATTTTACTTTGAAAACAAAAATTTGAATAAAGAAATTACAATTTTGCTACCACTGACACGTGACAAAAATATTTATAAAATGCTAGAATAAATGGAATTAAAGTTTGGTGCTAAAATGACACGGCTGTGATGGTAGGATATTTGAACGACCCAGTGGCCACGTCATTGACAGTCGACGTGGAGGGGTGGCTTCACACGGGTGACATTGGATACATTGACGAAGAAGAAGAAATATTTATTGTTGACCGGATCAAGGAGATTATCAAATATAAGGGTTTCCAGGTACACGTCACTATTATCATAATTTCTACCCAAATAATAATAATAATATATTATTTTCGCTATTATATTTAATTCTTCACTAATAATGGGATTATTGAGCTTTAATTGATTAATTGAAAGCAATAATTAATATAAAAACGATTAAATTAGCTAAAGTCAACGTAACATAATTGCCATGTTTCTGAAACAAAGTTCGAATCTCTAATTTTGTATTATTGTAATTAACTTTGTAAATTATGGTATTTACAGGTAGCACCGGTCGAGTTAGAATCTCTTCTTCTAACTCATCCATCTATTATGGAGGTCGCTGTCGTTGCGTAAGTGCCCGATTAAAATTATTTAATATTTAATTCTTAAAAGAAAAAAATTAAAAATTAAAATATTGGCTAAATTAACAAAAATTATTTAAAAGATATCTTCAAAAGTTTCAAAAAATCCCTAAATTTTAAATAAAATCTAAAAAATATTAAAAAAAATTATAGTCTCTAATATTTTATTTTAAAAAAATATATATATAAATATATCCTTATAAATTTTTTAAAAATTTGTTTTAAATTAGGAAAAAACATAAAGAAATTGGAGAAAATTACAGGGAAAATGATGAAATTGCTGGGGAAGTTCCAGTGGCCTTCGTAGTTTGTTCAGCTGGTAATCAACTTACCCAGGAAGAAGTAAAAGAATTCATTGCAAAGCAGGTTTGTATTATAAAAATGCTATTTTCCCCCATATAATAACATTATAATTTTAATTATACTTCCGGTTTATGTTTCGGTTTCTAATTTTTCAAGTATTAACGAGCATCAGGCTAGAATCGTCTTTTCATACGTAAAAAAAGATATATAATATTTGAAAGTTTAGGAATTAAATTAAATTTTAAAATTAATTTATTCTCACTTTCGTTTTATTTTCTAATGTAAAATCACCAGGTTGTGTTCTACAAGAGATTGCACCGAGTTTATTTTGTACCCACGATTCCAAAATTGCCCTCTGGAAAGATCTTGAAAAAAGATCTCAAAGCCAAGCTCTCGAACTCACCTAAAGCTACAAAAATGAAAGAGATAGGGAGAGATTAAGTAACATGGTCGGATCGTGTTGTAGAAAATAAAAAGGAATGTAAGGTAACATTTTTATTTTATATTTCAATTATGTGCCTAAGATATAAATATTTTTAATAATAAGTCTTTGTGTTTTTTTATTTTTTATTTTTTTAATTTAAGAATATTAATAAAAAAATTTTAAAAATAAATATAATATCAAATTTTTTAATCCAAACCCAAAATATTAAATTTAACCTCCCAACGTCAAATTATAAAATTAACTTTATCGTAAACATTTTAAACCGCGTTTAAATATAAATTCATAAAATGCAGGATAAAAATCGATATAACAATAATCGGGAAGATTATCTATATTAATTATAAAAAAATGATATATCTCGTCTAATATCCTCTTATTTTTTTATATAATTTTATTGAATAAATTTTATACTTTATATAAAAAATATCTAAGAACTCAGAGATGATCTATGAAGTATAAATAGATATTGTGATAAAAACTTTTTGTTTTAGATTAATATTACTTTTAAAAAATTTAAAACATTATATTAATAATAATAATTATTATTATTATTATTTTAATTAAAAGGTATAAAGGAGAGTAAATACATTTTAAAGTTTTTTTTTTAGTTATTATTTAAAATTTTAAAAATTAGATATTTTGAGATAAAATACAAAAGTTTTAGGGTATTTCGTGTAACCTATAAAAAGTTGGATCCAAATTTTTTAGTTTGATCTCCGTCGAAGCGTTGCTCTCCTTCGCGCTCTCTCTTTTCTGTGTTTCAGGCTGCGATTGGCCGGTGTATCAATGGCGTCGAGTCTCTTCAGATCGCTTGTTGAATCTTCCTCTAAATTTCCGTCTTCGGCAAGGAATATCAGTATTGTTAGCAGCCAAATCAGTCAGCACACTGCCAAATGGATGCAGGTATCCAGTAATTTCTCGAAAATTCCCCTTCGGAAATTTAATGCTCCTACGCCTGTGTTTGAGTTAATTGCTGCCGACTCTGATTTTTCATTTATAATTTGACCTTCTTTTTAACTTAAATCGAGAACTATTGAACAAATACTTAGAATTTGGATCTGAAATCCCCCACTTAATGTGGTGATCTGTTTTTGTTTTCTTGAATCAATTTTTGTTATGTGGAAATTGATTCGTGTTGTTTGGAGAGGAGAAAAAGGCTTGCGAACTGTGGCATTAATGGATGCTAAACCTTTTGGTGTTCGTCTTATCTTCGTCATGGCCTGTGGGTTTTATATGGACTGCAATGACTGCAAACTTGGAAAGCCAATACCCTTCCGCTCCAAACTTGACCTCTGTAATGCAATGACTGCAAACTTCGAACCTTTAACAGTTTGATCAAGAATGTATATTTATCAGTTCGAGTTGATATATTTTGGATTATATTTTATAAGTTATAAATTTTAGTTTGAATAGGATTAGAATTAGGTCCTCTTAATTTCTATACTCGGTAGGGACCCAAAATCAACACATTTTCAATAAAAAGGGAGTTTTCTGATTTGGGTAGCTCCATCTTTCCTCTTGGTTGTATTCTTCATAATATTGATTCTTAATATTTTTGGGGATTATTGATAGGTGTCATAGTGACTCTTCCCTCTCAATTAAATTCCTTACCCTTTATGTTTGACTCTTACTACTTTTGGGAATTATTGTAGATTGATTAGAAATTTTTTACTCATATTTTCAATAGTTTTTGCTATCAGGGGCTCCCACACTTGGTAAATATGTATGAATTGATTGATATAAACATGATTTCCACTATCATTAGTTGGCAATGATACATTTAATCATGTTACCAAAATTCTTTATTGAGTATTTTTAATATCAGTTTAACTAATGATACATTTAATCATGTTACCAAAATTCTTTATTGAGTATTTTTAATATCAGTTTATAACGAGCCAATTACTTACACTAGACTGGGATAATATATGTTGGTCGAAGGACGCTTTGAATTCAAATTTCAATACAACATTTATTTTCAAAATTAATTGACTAGACCAGATGCTTCTAAGATCCCAATAATTCTGGTTCAGATCCCAATAATTCTTGTTCAATGTTGTCTCCATAGCCTTGCCAAAATCTATGCCCGCACCACAAAAATGTTCAATAAGAAGTCCCACTTGAACCTACCTTCTTAAATAAAACTCATGTGTCAATCCACCTTTAAAATAAGAACTACTATAATTGAATAAGCACAAATATTTTAGCATATTGTTGAAATTTGGAAGAATTCAAATGTTTCGGAGAAGAACGAGTCCAACATTCAGACAATACTGAGAATGAAAAGAACTAAGCTCTACATTATCCAGACCCAGGTTGAAATCTTCACCTACACTTCATTATTTCATATAATTTGTTATAAGTTTGTAACAATACCCTCATGGGACTTCTACCTCAATGAACAAATGATATATTTTAAATACCATTTAAATGTAATGAAAACTAACACACAGAAATATAAAATTCCCTCATCAATGAATCTAAAGTAACTACCAGACAAAAACCAATCAATTTTCTTCCATCTAAGAGTAGTATTAGCGTGTATAGTATTCATATTATAAATACCTTCAATGTTGCGCACTGCCTCCTTCTGAAGCAGCAAGTTTCCTTCTCTGTTGATGTTCAGTAACTTTATAATCTACCACCTCGCGATATAGGCTCGGATCGAGCACACATGTCTCGCTACCATAAACAGCAGCTTGTACACTTGCCATCAACTTTGCTATTTCTCTCCCAGAAAATCCTTCAGTTTTTGCAGCTGCTTCGTGTACAATATCATCGGTCAACCCTTTGATTTCGATCTTCTTTTGTTGTCCTTTAAAAATGTTTTGGAATAAACCAGATTCTCTCAATCCAGCATTTGCTATATATTTTTCCAGATAAAGCTTCAAGAGTTTGAAGCGTTCCTCTTCCCTGGGCAAGGGGAATTCTAGAACTTCATCAATACGATCCCCTACTGCTGAGTCGAGATCACCAGGGCGATTTGTAGCAAGAGCAAGAACAATATCCTTTGACTGGTCGCCCGTGCGAAAAAGAAGAGCATTAAGTGCGCTTCTTTGAGCTTCACTCATATATGTTTTATTTCTCCTACAAATTTAGACAATACTCCACCATTAGTGATTGCAATTTTCTCACCTCAATCACAAAACTTGCAGAGGGAAAATTTTCCATAATACCGATTTCTGTGAAATTATAATATATGACTGAATTTTAGCAAATTTCTAGAACATGAAAAACAATATTTCTAGCCCAAGAGTGAAGCCTTACAAGCCTTACAATTGATAAATTATGTTTTGTTACAAACACGATTAACGAGAAAAGGAAAAGACCGAAAAAAGTTGAGCAAGTTTGACTTACTCGCATAAAAATGCATCTGCTTCATCAATGAAAAGCAGTAAACCCTTCCGAGACTTCTTAGACCAATCAAATAACTGGTGTATCTTGGTAACAGCTTGTGATCCCAAAGGAGCAACATCTCCTCCTGTCATCAATGCATAATCTAGTCCCTATGGGCAAAGAAAAAAATCAGTGACTGATAGATATTGCATATTATAAGAAAATAAAAACGTAAAACTCTCATCATATCAGCAAAAAGTAATTGGTAAAACAATGGTCGCTAAATTTGGGTAACTAGCCTGAAAATCATCAATTTCACCAGGAGTAGTCAGAGTGTATGACAACCACAGTTCAAATTCAAGAATTCAATGGTTTTTACCACAACTAGGAAACTGAACATGTTATTTTGAAATATATGCTACCGAAAAACCATAAAGTTCACTTCACAGGTTTTATTTAGCCCCCACAGTTATAAATTGAATTAAAAGAAAATTCATTTAGGAGTGGACAGGCTGCAACTCACCTGCAAGCCAGATCAAATCACTACCCTCTTAGGCGGAACAGCCTGGACAGTTAAAAATCCATGAATTCTTGTTATAGCCAAAATGGTGGATACTCCTCTGGCTATATCAATGAATTCCTAGAATCTTAGGAAGGATGGAAATTCTAAAAAGTGCCTCTCCCATGAAGGTCCATTTTAAAAGACCTCGGTCTTTTTCATTATAATATTATCATGATCTTGAAGTTTTTCAACCGCAGACAGAATGAACATTCCTGATAATGCTCAGAAATATTAACACTTGATATTGAATCTAGACTTCCAAACCTTTCAACAATTTAGAAAGAGAAGATTTGAAAGAAATCTTACAGATTTATGAGCAAGCTCTCTAGCAGCCATTGTCTTTCCTGTTCCAGGAGGGCCGTAGAAAAGCATATTCCGAAATGGAGCCTGATGAGACTTTGTATTTGCAGTTGCATTTGATAGTTGCTCTATCCTCTTTTGAAGTGAAGGGTGTAAAATTACATCTCCAAACCCGTTTCCTTTTTTTGAGGAAGGCCCCTTATCTGAACCACGTGACACAGTGCCCATGACACGCGATAACAGCCCCGACCAAGGGTATTTTCCTCGCGATGACTCTCTAATCAGTGATGGCTGCCCTAATATTCTATCCACATAACTCCAAATCACTTTCGCACCTTCTCTACAGTGAGGAAAAGCCATAAGCTCTGCAGTCAGCAAACGGGGATTGAAAATAAATTGATATAGGAGTTCAACGAAATTTATGAAATTTAAACGACCATTCAGATTGCAAATGGTGTACAACAAACCAGATTAAATTGATGCCCAAGTAAATTTATGAACACAAAAACAAGATAAAATGATAATAGCTGTAACAAATAGGCTAAAATATACGGAGATGACTGCCTCACTAGTGTCAAGCAGAAGGAAATAGCCTTGTTTACAAATTTGAGTAGCATAACTGATAGTGGATCGATTTGTCTCCTATCTCAAACATTTCACAATAACCAGAGAAAAAACAAACACACAGAATGAAAATTGAAACAATCATCCTTCCTAGAGCATAAAAGATACCTCATGAACAAAGGAAAGTTCATCTTCTACAAAATATTCAATGAAGTTACCCAATGACAAGTCACTTCTGAGACAACCATCCACTCATCTGCTGGGAAAATTATATATATATTCTTGATGATTTTATTTTATTTTCA